TAAATATAAAATATAAAATACAATAATGAATATATATATAACTACTAATACTACTATATAATATACTATGCTAAAATTTACTTTGTAACAATATACTATAGGTAATTGACTTGCATTAGATAATTAAACAAAAGTTTGCAAAGCATCATGTAATAAATTATTAGGTTATCTGATTATAAAAAAATTAGATTTTTCTTATTTTTGATGATCAACGATTATTGTTCCAATAATTCAATAAAAAGTCCTATGAAGATAAATGAAAAATACCAAATATCAGGTAAATATGCAAATTAATTTGTATCTAAAATTCTTGCTTTTACTATCATTAGTTATCACAATTACGATATCACTTACATTTGCATTTTTTTATATTTAAATTATACTCTGTAATTGCATATCCGAATGCACACATATATCTGTTGATCTATATACATGATGAATTTAACTGAGTATAATAATTCGGTTAAATCTGATTAATCGTTCATAATCGGATTTAATCGGATTATTATGACTGATTAATCAGATTTAAGCGGATATATTATAACCGATTTATATTCGATTATGATTTTTAAAAAGTTAATAAAACCGGTTAATAAAAATAAAACCGGTTCCAACTTCTAGTCACGTGCTCTTGTCTGTCTAATCGCTTCTGCGTTAATGATTGGCTAGATGCAATTTTCTTAATCAAACATACCAATATCGTAATTTGGAAATTTTTTGTCTGTCCGCACGTGTGATGCATGATTGCAAAACTATTTTTGAACAACAAGCAGGTTTATTTATTTATACTTCGGACTTATATTGGTTTTTGATTCCTGGGTGTATTTAAGTTTAAACTACTTCTTTTAATAATTCTAATACTTATTTATATTACTTTAGTATTTAGTAGATTTAATATGGCTTTATACAATAGTATAGATAGAAACGTGTAGTATTAATTAATAATATAAATGAAAAATAGGGTGCAACGAAAGTAATAACTGAAAAATAAGATTATTTAAGAATTTATATCAATAAATAATGGAATTTCTTGAAAGTTTTTTTTTTGATGGATACAAATGTGAATAACTAGAACAATTTATTAAGTAGGATATTGCTTAATTAATAATATATTTTAAAGGTAGTAGCGTCTCTAACGAAGGCAGTAATAATTAAAATATGAATTTTACTCGATTGTTTAATTAAATATAATTAATAAAGAATAGGATATAAGTTTCGCTAGTATGTAGTATAAAGTTTGTATTATGAATTCGTTCGATTAAATTATGTAATATGATTGGCTAATTATCACGAGAAATCACGGGTAGATCTATAAAACTTAGCCAATCAGACAAACTTCTTCCTATGAGACGATTTTTACTAATAAAGGTACTTTAAAAATTACAATTGACTGTATAAAAAAAAGATCATCGCCAATCATATTTATCCTAATTTCAGCCAATTAAACCGAACTTCTGCTATGCTAATAGCGAAATGTTTTCTTAGAGAAGTTGTTTTGCAATAAGATCACATGATGTGCGAAAGTTGAGTAACGTGAATTATATAAAGCTTACAGATTAATTTTCCACTCTGAACACGTTCTACCGCGGATCTTTCAAGTATAACGTAAAAACATAATTTTTTCTTAGTTATTTTTTTTCTATATCTTTGTTGTAGCTCTTTGATCTCTGGTAAAGTTTACAGTCACGCGTATCCCTACTGTCGTTAAGCAACACCTTCCTGCGTTCAGATGTTTGGAAGCAGTTTCCTGGGCTGTCCTTAAGCATACGTGTTTAAGGCCCGTGTCCCAGCAGGCTGTTTTCCAGGATGCGCTCACTATACCTACTGTCGTTAGGCAACACCTTCCTACGTCCAGATGCTTGGAGGCAGTATCCTGGGCTGTCCTTAAGCATACGTGCTTAATGCCCGTGTCCCAGCACGCTGTTCTCCAGTATACAGTTGGCTGTAAGCATTACCATATCTCCTTTAATTAAAAGGATAAATAACTAATAATTGCGTTAATTTTTTTAGATGTTTGAATCTACTTTGACGGAATATCTCGATACGATAAAAAGTAAAGAGTGGACGATCCTTGAGATTTTAGAATTTGCGCGATCGAACTCGAACCCAAAATTATCCATATAAAATTTATGCAAACATGGCGTTAGAGAAAACTAGACTTCAGGCTTTAAAAACTTATAAAATTGGGTCAGTAAATCACTAATGGAGAGCGCAGTTACGTGATAATCCTACTACATGGTTTTATTTTGATGGGCCAATGAAGTTATCTTGCTCTATAACAGTATAATAAACTTTTTTAAAAAAATATTTATTAGAGTCCGGCATCGGAATAGCAAACTACTTCTATAAGAAACATAAAAAATTTGTTATAAGAACTGTCAGTTCATTATACGAAATTTAACTGCATACATATGTTGTTCATATGACAACAAAAAATAAAGGTGGCTCATATGTAGGAATACAAGAAAACAAGAAAACAAATTGACAATTTTTTCAAAATGAATTTTTTAAGCTTAACTAATTTAAAATTAGTTCAGAAACATTTATCACTTAAGAAAGAAACGCTGTTACATTAAAAAAAATTTACAGTATAATCATTTGAAATATGTATTTTTCTATAAGTTAATATACATTTTGTAATATAAAAATCAATTTTCTGCAAAATCTATTTTTTGTCAATTTGGTCCCTTTTTCTAGCACCTAGCTCATATTCACGCTATAGTTAAGTTCCCACTACACCTATAGCCTCGAATCTTATATAATTAGTTCTATTATATCAAGAGTTCACTCTAACTGTATTTGAGTACTGGTTATTTTCGTTATTTAATTCATGAGTATATTTTTAGAACTCTACAACCTTTTATGGCTTCGTTTTAATTATTTATTTGTGTTAATTTGGTTCATAATTGAAGAATCGTTTATAAATCTAGTTACATTTATACAGTTTCGAGTACTTTTTAAAAAAAACGAAAACCAACCATAATAAAGTAAAAAAAAACCATATAGAAGGTTTCATTAGAACTGTATGACTCCATAGTCAAAAATAAGATCTAATTCTCGTCCGTTTAAAAAAAAATTAGCTTAGTAATAAGTTGATTTTATCGAGTTTTTGAGAAGTTATTACTATACTAACTTTTTTGAACGGATGTGAATTAGATTTTATTTTTGGTTATGGAGTCCTACATCTCTAATGAAACCTTCTATACGGCTTTTTTTTTTTCATTATGATCAGTTTTCGTTATAATGTAAAATTTAAATTGAATTTATTAGCCAATCAGACAAACTTCTGCCTATGAACTCTCAATATAATGAATTTTTAAACTAATTTTATTTAACGGAATACTATAACGTATTTATAAATAAATTTTTTATTTAACTGTTAAATAAATTATTTGGATTTGAATTAAAATACAATAATAAAATTTATTTGATACTTAAACTTGAATCGGCATACGTAGTAACCATGTAAAGTATAACAAAAAAATATTTGTACGTATAAATAGGCCAACCAAAAAAGTAACAAAGTAATAATAAAAAAATAATAGATGCATAACGACAACTTTTAACTACAAATGTAAACCTGATTAATTAGAAAATAGTCAGAATCAGGAATTAAAACTAGACTTTAAACCAAGTAATGGGTTAACTTAGGTTTTTAAACATATTATGGCTCGAAGGTTCATAAAATCTAACCGAGATTTAAATATCCTTAAACCAAAACTGAACCTAAACTAACTTTACCATCCCTAGTTTGAAGACTAGTAACGATATATAATATAATTAATTTAATCCAGTTTATATAATAAGTCGAATTAATACTTGATTCATGTCATAGACAAATATTAATTCACAATATATATATATATATATATATATATATATATATATATATATATAGATCTATAATGTAGATATAATCATTTAATTGATAAGAACGATCTATAAGAGTCTATAACTAGTATACAAAATTGAAATTATATATCTTCAAAAAAAAAAGCAAAAAAAAAAAAAGCAAAAAGAAAAAAAAAGGGTTGTATATTAATTACATTTAAGAAAAACTAATAATACAGATATCAATCATATTTGTTTAAAAATAATTACGAATATACCAAAATCTATGTCTTATTAGCAAGAAATTGCTAAAGTTTCAAAATTGCCGGTGGTAGCATTACTTGGCAGTAGTAGATCTTTCAAATTCTATAATGGAGAAAATAGGATTTGGTTTAAATGCAATTAGATGACTTATGATTTTATTAACAGTTGTTGAATCTTTGTACAATTGAACAAGTAAATGCAAGTATTATGTATTCTTCACTAGCATTGATTGTATTATAATGTGTGCACTAACCTATAGGCTTAATAGCAAAAGAGAAAATATACAAACTGGGGGTCAGCTTCAATCGACTATTTTAAAAATCGAGAATGCAAGCAACAAGAAGATAAGAATAGCTTCATCGGTAATTAAACAATTGTTTTTCATCAACACAAGATTCTTTCCATTACCCGAACCATTACCCTGCGTATTCTCCTGAGTTAGAGTTGAATATTCACCACTTTTCATCCGACGCCCGTTAACACGATTAACTGACGCACTATTTTGTAGTTGTGTAAATTCCACTCGACGTAGCATTTCTTTTTGATTGGCAATAATCAACTTGTTAGCTTTTAGTTCTTCTTCTTGCTCTTTAATAATGTTACGTTGCCTTTGTATTGTATTTCTCAACTCATTGTATTCTCTACTCCCACTGAGAGAATTACCATTGGCTTTTACATCACTTTCATGTATACTTATCTTCCCTATTTGCTCTTCAGTAGCAATTTTCAACTCACGATTTTCAATATAAAGGCTTTGCAATTCATCATCTTTTGCCTTCAATTTATCATTTAAATTTCTTATTGATTGTTCAGCAGTTCTCAATTTCAAAGTCAATTCATTAATCATCTTATCCTTGCCCTCAACATCAGATTTAAGCAGATTGATTGTCACATTCTTTGCGTCAAGTTGACTTTCGAGTTGAACGAATTCACTAACCTATATCATGAAATAGTATAGTATATTAATAATAAATACATAATAAATTAATAAAAAAAGATAAAAATGGAATGAATAAATTAAATAACTTAACAAACCTGTCCAACATTATTAATATTATTATTAGTATTAGTATGTTCGATTGTGGGTTTGCGTGTCGCAAATTGTTGATTTGCATTGCCCGAGAAAGATGAATTCGTCAAAATTAATTTGGTAAGATGGTCAATTCTTTCTTTAAGAGCTGTTCGAACTAATTGAGCTTCCATCATTTCTTCTTCATGCTATAAATATTTATAAAATTTTATATATAAAACAATAAATAAAATTTTAAAATTATATAATAAAAAGTATTATATCAAAATTTGAATTTACGTACTTTAGCCTTTTCTTTTTGTAACATTTGAGATAACTCAGTCTCTTTCTCTTGATAATTTGCATCATTAGTTCTTTCAAGTTTAGCTTTAAGTTCCTCAATTTCGATACGATATTTTTGCAATAGAGCTTTATCGTCCATTACCTAAGTTTGTAAAAGTTTAGATAATAAAAAAATAATCTTAAACATGATGTAATGTCAACATACCGCATTTGTATGTGCTCTAGTAACCACTTTTTTTATTCTGGATGCGAATTTTAAGGTATTCTGAGACTCTTCATGATTTATCGCAGAAGGAGATATAGTACAAATTACAGAAACTCGAGCATTCCCACTGAGAGAATTCTGAAGAATTCGAGTCAATTTGGAATCACGAAATGGGATATGACCGCTACCAAAAAAACACATATTAAAAAAGGGGACTACTATGAAAAATCCAATAAATATCTCCGATTTGATGAATGTTTACCCAGAGTTATCCGTTAATTTTGAGATCACAGTACCAAGTGTCAGAAGACTTAATAAGATAAAATTATAGTTAATTTTCAGAAGTAATAAGAAATAGCAAAATTATTAGTAAGTACAAACCTTTTATTAATATAAGCACCTTCTTTTCTACGATCAGCCGAAGAAGCAGCCTTTTCAGAACCAGCTAAATCTATTAAATTCTATAAAAATTAAATATCTAATTAAATAATGAACATATATTATTAAAGATGTACCAAAGATTTGAGGAATTAAAGCTTTTACCAAAACAGATAGTGAAACGGAAGCAGATGCCTTCTGTCCAGCAGTAGAATATCGATTTGGTCTAGGCGGTAATGAACCTTTAGTGGTACTTTCGACCACCTGTTAATTAAAAAATACAGTACTAGAGGTTAAAAACAAATATAGTTATAAGTTATAGGCAAAATATGAAATTTACCATCTGAAAAATAGTATGAGACCGACTACTTCTTTCATTCCAATCAGTTGAGCTCATATGGCGGTTAGCTAAATTTGATATTTTCTTAGTTTATAACTTTATATTATGACTTAAGAATGATGATAATTAATTACTGATTTACAAACCTTCACCCTTTGAAAGTTCTTTCATGACTTGTTTAGGTGTCGATACCACGACTTCTTTTAGAGGAGTTACATATACTCCGCGCTGATATAAATTATTATTAAATTATTATTAAATGGTATTAAATGGTATTAAATGGTATTAAATGTGAGTTTAAAAAATATCGTTAAAATATATATGTATATATGTAACATAAAATGATACAAACGCGTTTGTCTTCGTGAATCCGTAAATCATCAGTTTCGGGACATAACAAATCGCGTACAGTCTCATTATATATCTCCATATAAGAAACTCGAAGTAAAAACTCTTTTTCTTTACACTAAATATAATATTGCAAAACTTATAATTTTATTATAAACATTCAAGAAGATCTATAAGCAAACACGAAGATCCCATTTACCTCCTTGATATATTCAAATACAGTATCGACAGCTTGCGGAATAACACCTGGTTGTGAATCCGTACCTATGTAGGATTTTCAATCGAATCAATAAATTGAAATAAGTTCGTAAAATATAAATAATAATAATAATAATAATAATAATAATAATAATAATAATAATAATAGTAATACCTGACTATAAAATATATATTATTCATTATCAAATGGAATTATACACACCGCATTATTAAAGAAACTAAAATCATGATAATTCATACCATAGTCTATAATCAATAACAACCAAAATAATAGTTTAATATATGTTATTTGTATTTGATAATTCACACATTGTGAGGATCATGCGATGCTTACATAAGTCTTTCCAGAAGAAGTCTGACCATAAGCGAATACGGTGCCTTCATGATAAAGAAAAAAAAATTTATTTATTTTTTATTTTTAATTTTGTATTTACTATAAATTAATTATTATAATTCAGGTATTATGTTTTAACTACCATTATAGCCTTCCATTGTAGACCTGATAAACCATAAATTCAAATGAATTATAAGATTAATAACCAAGATCACCTAATTGCATATATGATTATTCTAAATATCCTAGCCTACCTAACAGTATCTCGTACGCCCCTCTCAAATAACAATTTATTATTACTACCAGTGAACGCTTCGTCTGTATAATAAAAGTGGGATTTATCGTTAAAATTGAATAATTGAAGTTAGACATTAAAATTCCTATAAATAATTTTTTTTATAACCATAAAAATATTCGGCCATTTGCTTTCTGTATCGTTCCATAAAATCCACCTGTAGGCTCACTTTGCCAATTGAGTTATCAACTTCCCAAATTTCAGTTTCACCCCTACTCATTTCTACAGCATTTGGAGGTCTTACTCTTACAGTAACTTTTACATTTTGGCGGGTGGAAGAAGCAGTATTACTAGTTTGATTTTTTGGAGGTTCTGGAGTTGGTGTAAGAATGTTAGTTGAAGACAAGGTATCAGAAGCTGCCCTTAGTGGCTGTGGGCTTCCGACTCGTGCTAAAGACCTTTTTACAGAAGAGTCCATAATGATATAAAAATTCAGCCGCGAGAAAGAAAAGACTCCAAAAGTTAGAGTCGAAATTCGATTAGCGTTTATAGTAGTACTAATATGATACTACGCCATTGCAATTCGATTTTAAATTAATATCACATGATAAACCGAAGTTAGAACAACTTTGTAAAGTACAATGGTGTGTAGCCTCGTGTTTAATACTTTCACGTGCAGATTTCACGAACAAATTTAGCTACGTGATATAGCACAGATGCAAGATTTCATTGTTACGTATCATAACAGACAAACCCTTTATTATTTATTACCTTTAACCAATCAGAGTATAACGATATCCATAATTTTTCACTTACCTGGATATACCGATACGTATTAATAATGTTTGAAATTTTAGCGTTAGGATTTATTTAGCATTCATCGGAAATGAAGTTCACCATTATGTTTTTGATTATTTTTGATTATTTTTGATTATGTATGATCTATTAGAAAATTTTCCATAAATTTTAAATTTGGGTTTAAACTTTAGGGTTAGAGTTAAGGCTTAAATTAAACATTAAGGTTTTTTAAGGAACCGAACCGTTTTATTTAGTACACCAAATACGTATCAAATTACTAAGACCATTTTTAAGAAATATTATACCCAGTGAATTTTACTTTAGGTGAACTTTAAGATCATTCTTAAGTTTTATTACATCTACTTTTATTGAAAATGTATATTTTTAACAACCGTTACATTTAACAGCCATCGGTTAGCCAATAATTTTTGGGTTTATAATTTGGCTGTACATATTTTTGTTGTCTATATTAAGTAAGCTTTTTATATACATAATAGATAGATTTGATAGGACAAATTGGAACGACCCGGGCCAAAAAAGTTCAAGCCGTCGAAATTATGATGCAGGAGAATTAATTCCACGTAGTAATTCCATAAAAGTGTGGTACGTACATACGTACATGCGTACAAGTAGAATATGCTAACAATTGTGTGAAATTTAATTTTCCTGATACAGTGATAACAGAAAAAAATACCGCTGACGTCACATTTTATATAGTATTACGTATTTCTTAATATACGAATTGCAATTTAAAATTATTATGAGTGTTGCTAGGTTTGCTGATGCTCTCAATTTTAGTTAGTACATGATTGCTATCGATAATATAAATTCTAATGACTTAGTTAGGGTTGGGTTACAGATTAAGAGCCTGCTATAGCCGGATACATTTTTCATTTTTAGGTTTCCAGAGTTTCATGCTACGTATAAAAATTTTAGCCCTTTCAAATTTGTGTTACGAATATAACGTTTTTAACAAGAATCGACATTTTTGGTTTAGTTTAAGGGCTACGTAGATAAATATTAGATAAATATTATATAAATTATCTTTCCAACATCCTTTGTTATATAATCTTCCGAGATAGGTTTAGGCATTAGTTCCTTGTATTTTTTTCGCGTTTTTTCTTTATTTTTTTCCTCGTCGGGAAAATCCGGGCAAATAAAAAACATACTCGGCTTTAAACCTACTTTAAGCCTACTTTTTTCTTTGGCACGGTTTTTAGCGAAAAAATACCTATAAAAGGAAATAAAAGTTTCACGAATCTGAAACCGTTTTATGTTATTCTCCTGATTGCTGAATGTTGATGGGAGGCTGATATCAATCTCTACTAAACATCGCCACATGACTTGCTTTAAAAAAAAGGATAGATTTACGTTAGTGGAGCAACCAAAATTCAGCAGATCGACTAAAATCCGGGGTCGGAATAGGCCGATATTGATAAATTTCTCCAAACTTATACTAACGCTAATAAAAGGGTAGCTTATGTACTAAGTAAAGCTGTCCAGATGATAATTTTACTGTAGTGTAATTGACTGGTATTATTGCTTAATGCCGACCTAGCTCTGGGCCTATTTAGACCCTAAATTTGGGTCGATCTGCTGAATTTTGGTTGCTCTACTAATCTATCCAAAAAAAACCCCCCAATATCCGCGTACACGTCGGGAGGATGTCAAGGTTCAACTCGACTCATGAGTTTTACAGCTGTTTTCATTAGCATTAGGGTCATCTGATAAAAAATCGACGAATGATTAAAATGATCTTGCCAACCAGTAAATCTTGGCATAAAATTTTGAATATAAAAAAAGCTTTCATATGAATACATTACACGAGCAGGCGTTGATGTTATTCCAAACAACCGAGATTTTAAATGATTATTACACAAAATATAAGTCAAAAAGAAAAACCAGCACAAATTGAGTGTGTGCATTGAAACAATAGATTTAACGACTAAAGAACCCTTAGCTTGTTCATCTATTATAAATATTATAAAAACACTTAACTTGTCTGAATTAAAGAAATATGAATGCCCCGAATCTTTAATTACAAATCCTGATCTGACATCATGACCGAAGAAAACAAAAAAAAAAAATCTTAAAGCTATAAAACATATTCCTAACTCCATTTTTATGTTACACCGGATCTTACAATTGATCAGAAAAATTAGGATTCCTCTCATCTATATATGCATACTGACTTTGCTTTGCTTATATCTTTAGATTTTCTCCTCCTTTATAAATAAAGATTTCTGAGTGATTCTTATATTTATATCGTATCTCTTACCTGTTTATTGCTTGATATATATATATTTTTTTCATCTCTACCAATTGCTTACATACTCGCTGAGTGTTTGTATGCCAATTCGAATATAGGCTGTATTGTCACTTTTAATACATCATATTTTATAAAA